TTTTTTTTCCACGGTAATTTTTCCGCTCATTTCTTATCCATTTTCACTCCTACTGGACTAAATTTTGCGACGGTAAGCAGACCACGGCGGGACAGGAAAAGATGCCCCGCTTGAGACAGTACGTGGCCCGGAGGACAGATCAACTCAGCATCGAAAAATTCGCAATGATATCAAAACTCTTTTTTATCACGAGTTGAAAGTTCGATTTTAATCCGCAGAACGAATAATCATTCTAAGATTCGTCCATTCGTTTCGACGATAATCCGGCACTAACATTTGCCAAGGAGTGAAAACCAACGAGAGCCCTGCCAGAAGATCACACTGCCAACGCATTCGCTATTATCAGGTTACTTCCCGAGCACTTACTGCTTTTCACAGAGAGCGAATACAAAGGAATTTTTGATTTTGAAAAATTCGATTCAACGAATCATAGTCATAACTCTTTCAAAATTTCATTGTTTTAAGCAAGCAGCTACATAGCAAACAAGGGAGTGTATAATATTTAGAGCGCCTCTTTGTAACTACATAAGCAATCAGACTCTCCGTCAGACTAGCACTATGCAGGATATCACTGTCAGCCGTAAGTACCAATAGACGAGTCATGTTGCTTGCCACCCTAACAACCAGCGGGAGTCACGATTTGATCAATGGCACTCTTTTGGGGCAATCAAACAGGTTGCAAAACAGTGGCGCACATATATCGGAATTATGCAATGGAAATAAAAAGCAACGCGCACCAGACTAGCCGGTGCGATCATGAGTTTTGCGCAATTCAGCCCATCGAACGATTGCCTATTAATGATTTTCACTGCTCTGTACTTCAGTCTATGCAAAAATAGTTCAAACATTGGAAAACAGTTAAAAATTTCACGCACCAGCGCGTGAAAGCTGAATTCGAAATATTGAAGGGTGAATATCTTTCCGTTAATAGTTTACCCGCCAAAGTTTTCATGAGGCCGTAGGTGATACTCAAGAGCGCGAGGACGCTGAATTTTAATAGGCAAGGTTGAGCGTGAGCAAGGGGACATTACCCTAAAATTTCAGCCTCCTAGACTCCGTGGTTCCCGAGATATTTACTTACCCGCGAAAAACTTTCAGGGGGCCGTACGCGTTACCCGTGGGTACGGGGAAGCTGAATTTAAATTTGCGGTGTAGGTGGGGAACGTTCCTCAAATTTTCAGCTTCCTAGCTTTTGTGGCTCCTAAGTTGAAAGTTGCGGACAAGTTGCTGTGGACACACACACACAGACAAGCCCGTGACAATATGCGTTTTGTACTGCTGTTACACAGCACAAACCGTAGACTTGCATCTCAGGATTGCACTTTTGATGTAGCCGAATCCAACGTGTAGAAGCATTTCGGTAATAACACAGCGGCATGGTACTCACAAACTTACTGTCCCAGCGATCTTTATCGAAAACTAGAAGGTACTATTTTTTTGGTAAATCGAAAATCACAAAATACCATAAAATTAAACCATACTTTGGGAATTTTTCCAGCAGTGCCTTCAGTGGACCATACATTATATCTTTGGCAAAGAATGACTGTACAAGGTTCATTACCACATCCATTTGAGATTCATCTGTTATTGTAGCTGGATCTTGCTCCGTCAACCTCTAAAAAACAGACAATTCCATAACACATTTATATTTTAAATATTCGTAATTAATCAAAAACACATTCGCGACAAATGATAAGGTGTAACTGTGATGCTGAATAGGAATGTATGCAACTTGCGAGACCAAAAAATTCCTGTCTTTTTGATTAATTCTTTTATTTTATGTATATCATTACTACAACCGCTACTTCAATGCCTTAAAAGTTTTCAGTTGCCTCATCTTAGACTTTTTGTTGCTGAAACAAAAACTGGGATATACCGAATTAGCTCCAAAACTGGAACATACCGATTATTATTATGTAATTATCAGGCTTTTCCAAATTTAGCCTCTGCCTTTCTTCCTCTTTCGAATTCTTCCTTTGTTAGGAAAAAAAAACGACAAATGAAAAAGGCGACTATAAAAATTGGGATTATTTAAGCTGTTGCCAAGGTAATAAAATCGGACGGTATCCAGGTCATTAGGATACTCCCGTATTTCAAAAAACACTAATTTCAGCAATATTTCGGTATATGATTTTCTGTATGCGGTAAACTCAAAAGGGGAGGAAAGTGAGAAAACTACTCGCCGCAATAAAAGAGTGAAGGAACTCAACGATGGAAAAATCGTTCATCAAATTACCTGGAATACTTGGAATGGTTGAATCTAAATTTCCATCTAAGTAGGAGTGGAATGAGCCAGCGTGCTAGTAATCACCATACTGTTATTTTAACACATTTTGGGTATGTCCAACCCTGCCGTCCAGCTTCTTTACCTCACAAATACTTCTTTATCATGTCTTTTACACCAGAACATACTGTAGCTCGTCGCAGCGCAGCTTGCTGATACGTAAAATTCGCCTGTAATTAAAGTAAAATAATTTTTTACAAAAAAAAACTGCCTTTAATTGAGCAATGAAGTCTTCGGCACTGGCACGATCATAGTCTCTGGCTTCGCTGTTTTCACCTGTAGCATGCTCATTGAGTGCCTTTTGCTCCGCTTCAATCAATGCTTTGAGCATATTTTGAAAGCTTTCAGCTGCTTTTCGCTCCTCCGCCGTCATAGGAACTGTCTCGGACGAGCTACCAGCATCCTGAATACCAATCCACAAATTTCTCGCATTTCGGAAATCCAACAAATTAGATCAAAACAGTTCCCAAAAAGCTTTAAGAAATCTTATTTGGCATTTAATGTAGCATCAGTTACGAATGCTACGCTTTAAAATTCCATTATTTTTATGCGTTTTTTGCAGCAATGCAATGCGAAAAACGCATATTGACGAGGGGTTGTCTGTGT